GCAGGGAGAATGCAAATCGAGCACCAGCAAAGGCCATGGACAAAGTGGCAGAGCCTGTAAAAGTTAAATCACTTTTAGAACTGATCACGCTGAACTCTGATGCTTTCCTCACCATCAAAGGCTTCGTTACTGATCGGGTTACGGAGCTGCAGTGTCACTGACTCCAAGCTCACAGCCAGTCGGATAAAGCAGCAGCTTTTGGCCAGCTACACCCTGTCTAGATGACCACATTTATAGGAAGAAACAGCTTAATTTGACAGAGGAGATTATTTTTAAAGCCATACACGGCACAGGGTCCGTTAATGTCTAGTCTTACTTACATACTGAGCTGTTTCTAGTACCACGGTTCAGGCAGTCGCTGACACGGCCGAGCAGCTACATTTGTAATCAGTGATTCAGAATTCTGCACCGCAGTTGTAAACAAGATTAAACTGAAGAGGACGGCATCCATTCAACCGGCCCACAAGAATTACTTGGAAGCTGTAGTCAAGAACCAACCTGCTCCTGCTTTAGCTTTGACAACTTCTGTGCCAGCTTCTTGAATTCTCCCTGTAAGCTTTTCCAGTTGATCCTGAGGAAAGTCCACTTTCGGCGTGCACTAGATGGGAAAAGAGAAGTTACTCTTGAACACCAGGAGCCCCGTGAATTCAGCGCAAGGCCACCCACACAATGCCTCCTGCACTATCAGAGTTGTTTTGGTAATTCCCAATGGGAAAAAAACAGTTAACCCAGCTCACCAGCGGTGCAACAAACCAACCAGCTGTAAGCATTCACCACAGCTGCTGGTGACCAGCACGGGCTGTGAGCAGAACCCAGCCAGGCCTAGCTTATTTGAGGACAAACTGCAGCTTTAAAGCAAAAGCAGGGTTCGCCATGGTTACTACCATGTAGCCCTTTACACTAGGCAGATGCCCTCCAAATGTATTGCAGGTGCTAGGAATTTCAAAAAGCCACTTTGTAAATATTTGGGTCACCGTGGCGTTAGAGAAGAGCCTTAGGAAGGATCCAGCCCGCCAGCAGTATTTAGGCAGTTACTGAACCTTCAGATAGTTTCGCACGTATGGCGAGCACAGCTGTGTCTGTCCCGACTGTCTAACAAAAGCACCCTCTCAGCATTCAGCCCTTGCTCTTATTCCCTAAGAACATCCTTCTGTGAAGGATCCTTTACCCCTGCTTCGAACAACGCCTTTTCTCCTTCCTTGCAGACCACTCCTTGGCCACATCCAAGCCATCTCCTCACAAACCTGCAGCCTGCTTTACAACTGCAGCTCATTCCAGCTTCGACGCATGAGGGGAACCTCTCCCCAACTACCAGTCCCTCTCGAAGCAGGCACAGATTGAACTACGCCTCCTCATCTCAAAGCTGCATGTTGAAATGGTGTTTCTAGTCCACCACGGCAAAAGCAGCTCCATGTTCCTGCTGAAAAAAAAGAAATACCTGCCACAAAAAATTAAAACCAAAACAAACGGCACCAAGATATCTGAGCACCCACATGACACTTCAGTTCTTAACCCAAAGTCCTTTAGAGGAGAAAGGCTGGAACTATTTAAACCACCTAGAGTAGTTTAGATCTAGCTCATGGCTTCCAGTATCCTGTACCTCACCTCGGGATGACAGCAGGCACAAGAACAGGGATCCCCGGCTCCACATTACGTACCACCACAAAGACACGCTGCATCGACCCCAACATAGCAATGAGTGTGATGCCACATGCGGCGATAACTACAGCTCACCTGAGAGATCAGAGGGATGATGGTCTTCCCCGCATGGCCACCGATCACCGGAACACTCACTTTAGCTGGATCTAAGCCCTAAGGAAAACAGGAAACTTTTCAGCTTCTCAAGCATACAGACAAGGAAAAAACCTTTCATTTTCTGCCCTGGGTATTTGGGCACATCTGTAACCCAGCGCCATACAGGCAGCACTCCAGGGACAAAGCCCGATGTACAAAGTTGGGCTCTGGGTTGCTCTGATAACATTAGGCCGTTACGGGATAGTATCAGCGCAAGTTCAGATAAACAGCAGCATCCCACCAGGGCCATTACGAGCAGAAAGCAACCTGTCACACCTCCCCATGCTTGGCAGAATATCCCACAGCACGCAGCACAGACATCCTGCCTGGCAAACACAAGCTACAACTCAACCCTCTCCTCTGGTTGCACCAGCAGGGTTGGAAATGCCAGCAGAACTAAGGCAAACATGTAGCTCGCTCGCAGGGGACAGCTTTGAAAAGGAAAGGTCAAAGTCTCCTGAACTACATTTTGCAAGAAACCCTATCCCCAGGCTCCTCTAGAGAACGGATCGGGGAACGGTTGCCTTTGCCACTGGCTCCACAGAAATCCGAGCTCTTCTGGCTCTCTGCAGTGGTTTTAAAAGCATTTTTGGTAGATCTAATGACCAAAGCACCCCATATCCTTGCCCAGCATCTGTCAGTAAGACCTACCTTTAGTTCAGCCACAAAAGTATTCGCTCTGACAACGTCTAGCGTTGTAACGCCAAAGATTTTCTTGGGATTGTACACACCGTGCTTCTTGAAGACTTCTGAAGTTATCGGGATGGTTGAGTTTACCTGCAAGCGAGAAGAGACAAGCATTCATTAAAACCATTAAAACTAACGAAGCCAACCAAACAGGCCAGTAAACAACCTGAAGCATACTTCCAACTTGAAGTCAACCACAGCCAATTACTTTAATTCCTAAATTGAAGAGAAATTTACAGTCATGCTGGAATAAATCTTCTGTTTTAAATAACAATTAAGACAATGAATTTGCTTTAATGGTTATTTAAAGGCTCCTCCCTCAGTGAGCGAAGATTTCTCTTCCAGCTAATACACCAGCATGTATCATAACCACAGCCACACAGATGTTGAGATATTAAGTACTTTTACATCCAAGTCTCACTGACTTCAATATAGCTCAAGAAAAATGGATTAGTAGAACCAGGCTTTTAGTTCTTTCTGCAAATACCCTGTACACCTTAAAGATACCAGTCAAAATTAACAGGAACTCACAGGTTACTTGAGTGTTCTCAGTTTCGACTTTTTTTTCCCCCTCTATATTTTCCAAGTCTCCAGAAAACGCTTACCGGGTTAGAAATAATACAGATCATGGCTTCTGGACAGTGCTTTGCACAGGCCGATGTCAAAGTAGCAACAATGCTAGCATTGGTGTTGAACAGGTCGTCTCTGGTCATACCTAAAACATAGCCAGTATCATATTTTAAGTTCCCCACAATCTACTCATTAACAGTCAAGCTACTCAATAAAAAAACCAAACAAACACAATATTCTGCTATGGGCAGAGAGATGTCAGCTTCTGGTTTCATAGATCATTGAAAAATTAAGACTTAGAAAGAGCTAGGCATTAAAGTCTAGACTGTTTTTACAGTCTCAGTAGGATATTGAAAAGCAGAGTAGAAATGAAGCGGGTCAGAGACATTTCTAGGAAGGCTTAGCAGCACTCATTCAGAGATGCCCTGAAAAGTTACCCTACAGTTAACGCAAAACAAATGGATTCTTTCTATTCTGCTGAGAAATGAAACAAAGAACCAGTTCATTTACTATAGCATTGCTCTGGGCAAGCGACACCAGGGTGAGATGCAGCATCACTTGCATGAAAAGTCTTTTCTGCCCATTTTACGAGGCACAGTTTAAGACAGAAGCTAAATGAGATGCTTGATACCACAAGCAGCTCTAGGTCAGTGTCATTAACAGACCACTCACACCCCAAGCCAGCTCTGAGAGAGCCAGACACAGCTCTAAGCCAACTACCGCACCGCAGGGAGACACTTCAACCGAGCCCTGGAGCTTTTTAACAAAAAGAACGTACCCGGTTTTCTAGGGACTCCCGCAGGAATAACTACGACGTTGCAGCCCTTCAGACATTCTGGCAACTGCTCAGGTCCCATGAAGCCTGGAAAGGAAGACATTCAGGCATTATGGTTTCACCAGTTATTAAAGATCTGACACTTCGCAGGACAAAAATTACTCCCAGAGGCATCCAATCCCTTTTCTCATTTAGCTCTCAATTCCAACTGACACCACGAAGCAGAAAAACACAATTACGGATGGATCCCATTTGCTGTTTTCTCCTTGTTTCAAAACTTACAGAATGAGAGTGGCAGGAAACTCACATTCATCTGTTCTGAAAACCATCAGTTCTTCCTGTTGTATGTGTTTGCTCTCTCAAAGCCTCGGCTTGGCACCACAGCCAGTGCCCCCAAAAAACTGCAGGGAGACACATGCAAGTAAAATGTAGCTTTTTGGTGATCTTCAACTAAAACAAACTTCAGGAGATTGAGCTTGGGTTTCATCAGAACTTTTGACAGCTGTCCCTTAGGGAGAGCAGCACACAAAATTCACGTAGACACCCAGGAAGCGTTAAGTCTACTTTGTAGACCAGCTTCTAAATAGAACACTCAAGCTTCTTTCCGAGACAATTTTCCTGAATGTCCTGCCAGTTCTTAGGAATTGCCCTTCAACAACACAACCATCTGCATCTCCACACACGTCAATCTAATTTGCTAAACATAACAAGTCATGCACCCCTTGAGAAAAAGCCACTTAAATTGATAGTGGGCTTCAGGATCACGTGAAGATTCCCTTTCACAAGGAGCGAGGGGCATCTCCAAGTGTCAGAGAGACCCAAGAGAGGACCAGAACACAGACTGGTTGCCTGCAGTACCTTTAACGCTCGCTTTCGTCTCGATGTGGCTTAGGTCAGCTGCAACTCCTGGAGTGTGAGCGATGTCGTAAAGGCTGAGCTTGCTCACCAGCGGGCTGTTCTTCAGGAGCAGGGAGAGGGGCTGGCCAATGCCGCCCGAGGCCCCCAGCACTGCCACCTTGGCATTGTTCTGCGGGAAAAAGAAGACAAACACTTCACTGAAGGGATGTTCTGGTAGGTACTACAGCAGCGACCTCGGGGATTTCACCACGCTTTCTTTACTTTTGGTTCTATTTCTCAACGTTTTTATCAATCACGACGCAAACTCAATTGCCTAAGCCCACAGGAAGCGATCGGCACGACAGCCTCGCAAAGATCCTTGAGGTTTATTCGTAGGGCAAGGTAGAGGAGAACCTTCTTTTGGAAGCTGAAGCTCAAAAGGGAAGCTCAGCTAGGCAAAGTCACTGAAAGGATCATCTTTCTTCAGAAGCAAATGTCTGCCTGAGACTACTCTCTGCGACTCTGTGCACCTAGGTCTGACTTAGGGCAAAATCTGGCTTGCAGTTTTTCTAGTTTTCATTGCCACTATATTAAAAAAATAGGCTTTCCCATTTGGCAAAGCAATGCATCTGACAGAACACAATACACGTAACAACCACTGTATAGATGTGAGGAAAACGTGTTGGCCTGAAATAAGTTCAGAGCCGCATCTGCAGCTGCCTCAAGATTGAGGCCTGAGAACATAAAGTGACTATAATTTCCAGCTTTGATCAGATGTGGCTGAGACGCAAGTAAAATCAACTCTGCTTTGTTGCCCTGGTGAACCAATTTCACTCTCACATGCTCACTGGAAGGAAGTTATTTCTCTTTAAAATGTCTGTGCTCTCGTTGTACAGAAAGTGTCGCCGGATGACAGGAAACCTTATAATCTTATAAATGTAGCACTCTGCCAAAGTGATGGAGAAGCAGAGGCTACTGCAGAGACGTAACACGATATATAATTATATAAAAGGCTGATAAGGACGTTCTCTATCACACTGTTTTAGGAGATAAAGCCGCAACAGCTCCAAGACCCCGCATGAGCAGCTTAATTATTATGCTACGACAAACACATAATCTATCCAGGAGCTAGATCAGCCTAACCTCCGCTCGGTTTTCTTGCTATTCCAACAAATATCATTTAGTGTAGAACTCTGCAAGGGGAAGCAAAGTCTAGCATTAATGACTGCTACACCCTGTATTTATGATAGGCAACAGGACATCAAAACGTCATTGTTAATAAACCTCTCCTACAATCCCCATCGTTATAGCTATCAGCAATCACCCCATGACACACTGCTCAGAACTATTTGCATCAGAAGATCAATGAGGTTGCCCCTGCCTACCTTCTCTATCTACCCACCACGCAGCAGTGAGCCTTTTCTGCTACCACGGGTCAAGCACAGTGGATTTCAGCAAATTAAGGATTACTGTTAAGCCCCCAACAGCCAGCTTTAATTCCTAACACCTTTGGAAAGCAAGGGCATATTTTCAGCAGATGAGGGAGGCAGCAAACTTTGTGTATCGTCCACTATACGCTGTCACCTGGAACTGCTAGATCTGACCACTGAGCTCCTGCCTGCCTAGAAAAGGTCATAGAACAGAATCACAGAACTGTTTTGGCTGGAAAAGACCTTTAAGATAATCAGGTCCAACTGT